GGATTAAATATATAAAATAACAACCATATTGAGAGATGTTGAGGTGGTTGGATCATATAGAAAAAGGGAATTGAGGGAAGAGTGAATGGGGTCAGGAGGAAAATGCAAAAATCATGGCTCAATTGGATTGATCATGTCTTAAAAAAGAAAGAGTCATTTAAAGATGTACAGGTAATACATGCTGATAGTGTAGTAGAAGCAGGTAGAGTTTGCAAGGGCAAAAAGATAGAGATATAATAGATGGCATAAATAAAAAATAAAGTTATTTTCATTTTTTTAAAATGTTTTTTTTGCCTTTAACTTCATTGGTCCATTATTTCTCATTTTGTTCTGTGCCTTGCATGTTGTGTACCTTGAAAAGGAATAGTGTAGTGGCTATGTCACTGTATGTTTGTTACAGGGGTAAAAATATACAGCTATCATGATTCAGAATCTAATACTTGCATACTTTAGGCAGAGATATTATCAATTTTTATGTACTTGTTACTGTTTCCTAAGCAGGCATAATTAAATCAAGAGATACGCTTATGCATAGCAACTTAGTTGCCTCTAGACGAGATAGGTGGCACACAAATCTAATAAATAAAAAACCAAGGGCACACTTATAATACAAACATAAAACCAGGAATCATGGAATTCTGGAAAAATGGGCTCTTGAATGGTTCTGAAAAATCTGCATGTTCTCCATGGTATTACGGTACTTCTTCAAGGATGAATATCCACAAACTCACTACCGAAATGTTTAATTGCCAACGTGAACATGCCAGACAGATCACCCAGTATTGTTATGCAGCTGTATACAAATATGTAGTTCCTTTTCTGCTGCAATTCAATGTGATTTCTATAATTTGTCATATAATTTATGGCTATATAAAAAGATTTTTTTTCTTTGAGTCAGGTTTAACTCCTGGTGACATCATGCACTTTTCTTGGTCAGAATACAGAAGTGACTTTCCATGGTCTTCTTTCAAGATGGCCCCAGCTTCCCAGTCTAAGTGACAGCCTTTATATTCCCAGGTAGTCTCTAAAGTGAGAACTAACTTGGCCTGACCCTGTTTAGCCTCGGAGCTAAGACAAGGTCACCCAGGAGTGCCATCAACTGAGCCATCATTCCATTTGTTGCCTGTATAGGACTTAACACGAAAAACAAAGCCGAATGTAGATGCTCAAGCATTTACTAGCCAGCTTTGCTTTTTCCTGAAAACCCCATTAAAGTTATATTCATGCTTTCCATATGCTGTCTATGGAAAATTTGATTACGAGTCTACGGACCAGAGTTCATGCTTTTCATGGAATCCAGGAGCCTCAGTTGTTAAGGAGCCTTTGTTTTACATTTAAGCCACTTAAATTTAGCAACAGCAACAGGATTATGTGAATTGAGTACGTTTAAAGCCCAACAGATATTGCAATTTCATTTTCAACTGTAGAAAACTAACAGCCTTGATTTTTCAAGGTAGAAAACAAAAAATTCAAATTAGGCCTAATATTTTCAAAACAAAGATCACGCCCCTGCAAGATTCCACCATAATCTAGGGAAAAAACAGAAAATCCCTGTCCTGCCAACACACCCATTCTGCCCCACCTTGCATTACTCTGCAGCCTTTCCCCTTACCTCAGAATCATAAGTACAACCCCATGCACCAAACTAAAGCCCAGCTATTTTAGAGTATGGCCGAGAATTTTATACTCCTACAGATTATTCCATCCTGTGGCTCTTGCCACCTTGATAGCAGCATTTGACTCTAAGAATAGTTTTGAGTCTTCACTATGAACAAAAATTTTGAGAAATACTGCCTGCATTTTCTTTTCCTTCGCTCCTTTTTCTCTTTTAGATCATAAGCTTGCAGACAGGGTCTTAGCTATGTCTAATCATTTTAGTTGCTTTGGAAACTGTTTTGGTTTTTAAAATAAAACTGCCCAAGTACGTTGGAAGGCTAAATTAATCAACAGCGTGAGATCTCCCAACTGTCGGTCATTCAGGGCAGTCCCAGAAAGGATATATTTGTCTTCCCTTCACCCTGGCAAGAAAGCATCAAGACTTTGCAAATTTGCACCCTTTCTTGAGTCAAGCTGCAGGCAACAGGTCATATGCAAGATCATGACCCAATATGTGCTGCTGCATATGTGCAGCTCTTCCATTATTTTAAGACTGGCAACACCACAACATGGGGCTAAACTGTGTGTACTGAGAAGACCAATATTGACTCAAGATAAAATATCTGCAAATGACTTTTTGACCCAACATAAGAAACAATGTATTATAGCTGAGTTGATATATTACACTACTGTAGGCCAGAGGTTTTCCATTTTTTTCATCTCACAGTACACAACTGATAGGTGGAACCTCTGTGTCACTAAACCAGAAGTCCCATGATGCCACTAATTGCTGGGACTTGTGAAGAAACATGGAGGCAACCTGCCACTGGTGAAGTCACAGGAAGCAGCCTTCTGGCTGATACCTGCGTATCTTTTGCAGCACACCAATGTGCCACAGCACACCAGATGAAAACTGCCACACTACATGTTTTGTTCATCTGAACAACCCCAAATGGCTGGCTGCATATGTAGTAAGCCACAAATGATGATTTTCAAATTACAGAACAGTGGCTATGCTCATACAATGTTGTTTTAATGAACAAGTCAATATGAAATATTTAAAATATTTGCATGCTGATTTTTAAAATCCCCAGGTTACCCAAAATGATAAATGCAGCATTATAAAATGTTTTTATCTTACTAATTTTTTAATTTATTTCTCAAATTTATGCACCACCCATCTCTGGGTGGTATAGAGATAAAACAATGAAATATGCATAAATTTGATAAATAAAAATAAATGAATGGAATTGATGTTTTTCACTGGCTTCTAACATAAGCTAACTAGAGTTTCCCAACCAAATAATCTTCAAATGTCATGAGAGGGAATGATATTGGGAAAATCAGGGTTACCCTAGTTCAGAGAGACTATGAGTAGCTCAGTGTTGGATACTGGAGCCCCAACTCCATCCAGTGGGGCAGTCAAAGTGTTATGGTCTCTTTCCAAATTCTAAAAAGGGCAGAAGCCCTGGTATGAATAGGAAGTGGCTTCATGACAGCAAAGAAATGTATCTTTCACCAACCCACCAAGCTATAATGATTTTATTTGGTTTTAATTTAGACTGTAATGTGAATTCAACCAGTGTGGTTTGTAAACAACAGTTTTAGTCTTGGTACTGTTGTGCTGCTTGGCATTAAGTGAATTCAGCCAACTATGGTTTAAAAACCCCTAATTAAACAATGATTTAGCTTTAGCTGAAGCCAATATCAATGATAATTAAACTGAATAAGGAATCAGATTTGCACAAGACCAAAAACTTTGGACAATCCTAGATTGTACATTCTTATTTTGTCTCCAAGATACTGTATACAGTAAGAGCCAAAATGTATAAATAAGGAATGCCCAGAAATACAGACTAAGCACTGGACACTAGATTTTCAGAATTCATTAAAATTGCACCCAGAAGTACAGTTGCAGCATTAAAGTGATCCAAATTCTACTGTGGGATGCATACAGAGATGCATATGCACGTATAATTCTTTTTATGCTATTCCTGACAAGGAGCAGGCTAAGCAGTGTTTTTATCTAACAAAGTTCTGGGCCAGGCAGACTATTGCCAAAGGCTATCAACATTCTTCAATGTCCATGCTGATCTATCAATTTATAAAATTAACTTCAGAAATGTTAGTATAGCCATTGATGAGTTACAGTCCAACACATCTGAAAGTCAATTCCTTGAACTTTGTCTACTGGTTACAAGTAATTGGGATTATAACCCCAAACTTCCAGAAAACTCAAGATCATATTTGAAGGGTTTTTTTTTTAAGTTGTCTAAAAGTTTTATGGGTGACCATTTAGCCAATCAAAGAGTAAAAAATCAACTAAATACTAGTGTTCTCTAGTTCCAACAATAGCTATACTTTAGACAAAAACTATTTTCTATCAAGCTGGACATAGAAACGTCTAGTGGCATATTGTTTTTTTACGTACATTTGTGAAGTCTATTAGTAACATACTGGAATACATCCTGACATAAGCATAAGCTACAATAAGTGGAACCCATTGCAACTTCAACTCCTTAGTCACCTAAGGTTGCAATTCTATGCAACCAGGAGTAGAATTCCTTGAACAAAACAAAGGTGCAGGTCTGATCAAAGTTATCTTCAACATTAATCCAGTGAAATTCTATTTGACAGGTAAGTTAAAGAACCAGTGAGGGTACCGGTTTGGACACATGCTTAGCATTCATTCCCTCCCTACAGATCGATGGATCTGCTGCATTTCCAACGTGCCGGTCATTCTTCCCCTTTATACTCAGAAAGAACCACAAGCCTTACATCTCAATGGAAACTCGGGTCTCTTCAGCCGTTGCCCAAGTTTCCCGGCTTGAGCCCAGAGAGAGGTGAGAAGTGAGCTCGGTTCTTGTGCAGGACAGGCCAACGGAACCGAGACCCCTGGTTAACCCAGGGCTAAAGGAGGGCAGCGTTTCCCCCTTATCGCCTTTTTGCTGTATTTAAACTAAGGATCTCTCTCTCTCTGTGTCTCCCCGCGAGGGTCTGCCTCGAGCTGAATCCGGGCCGGAATGGGGCGTGCCTTTCCGGCGCGAAAGCGGCTGATAGGTAGGCCCGTGTCTGTCTTCCCTTCCGGTATCAATACTAGCCCGATCCTTCGGGAGAGGCAGCGCTGCACCGGACAAGCAAGTCGAAACTGGCCGCCGTTGCTGCAAATGTCAGGAGAACACGTGGAGTCCAGAGCAGTTCTCCTCAGCGGGTTAAAGAGCGCTCCCGCAGCCCAGTTGAAGGGACCGGCGGCCGAGGAAGCAGCTTTGGGCTCCGGCACTTTTCTTTTTTCGCCCGCCAAAGACCCCGTTGCCCGCTTTTCATTCAGAGCCCCCGCACCGACTCCGATCGCCCTCTCCTTTTGCACGGCCATCCCCCCCCCCAACGCCCCGACCGCGGTCTACCTTCTTCATGATGCCCGTCTTCCTCTTGCTGAACGTGGTGTAGCGTCGCAGCTTGTTGTCGATAAATTCCATCTTGATCTTGACCCGGCCGCGGGTCTTCTTGCCGGGTTTGGCGCCGCTCACGGCCCCGCTCACTCCGCCGTAAGCCCCGGCCGCTGCCGCCGCGGCCACCGCCTCCGTGCCCCCCACCCCCAGTTCCATGTCACCCAAAGTCCGCTTGATGCCGCGGCGCTCGCCCACCAACTCCTCATCTTCGGCCGAGTCCGAATCGCCTTCGCTGCCGCTGCCCGCCGCCGCCGCCGCGCTTACGTCCCGCTCGAAGCGACCGCCGATCGTCCCCTGGCCGCTAGGAGGGCCTGTCCCGTTGCCGGGCCCGCGGACTCCTGCAGCAGCACCGCCGCCGTTCGCCCCACGGGGAAGCCCGGCACCTGGCCGCCCGGAGGAGGTCCGCGCCATGCCCATGACCGCACTACGGGCCAAGGCGGGAGCGCCGTTCCCTGCCCCGGCCTGGCTGGGTAACATAGTGCCGGTGCCGCCACCTCTTCCTTCCAAGTGGGGCTAACGCGTCGGGTCAGACCGGCCCTGCCATGGGCCCGAGCGCCGGCTGCTCCGACCCGGCCCCCTCGCCTCTCCCCAGCCTCCGCCCGCCTTCCTAGCCGCTGCCTCGCACCGGAGTCAGGATCCGCGCCGGCCCGGGGCACCCCCTTCCCCCCCCCTCCGCTATCTTCCCCCCATATAAAGCGATACAATGTTGCCTTTTATGGCGAGGACGCTCCTTATATGGTGAGAGCCGGCGCTTTGCATCTATTGGCCGCCCCCTAGCAGCGCTTGGACGCCGTTGGCTGTAGGGGACCGGGCTAGGGTTCTCGTTGGTCGAAGACATAAGGGCTCATTTGCATACATTCCAAAAGAGCTGCGTTCGTTGAGACGTCACCCCGAGGCGCAGCTCTTAAAGGGAAAGGAGCCTGCTGGCTTCAAAAGAGAGCCTCAAATGATCGCTACTGAGCCGGTGGGGTTGCGGGGGGGGGGTTGGGAGAGGAAAGAAGGAAGAGATCCGGTGAGCCGATTGAGCCACAGAACGGGAAAAGACCCAACCTTCTCCCAACCTATCGCCTTTCGTTTTTCTCCAGAGAGAACCGTCATTGGCCCGGGCGCGGGGTTATAGGGATAGTAGTCCCCATCTGGAGGGCTCCTTCCAGGTTGAGGAGGCTCGAAACGGCTCGGAGCCGAGAGCTGACAGGCGGTCGGACCAAACGGTCCCCCCCCCCACCTCTCCCCCATAAGTATGCGTCAAACTCGGTGAAGCCGGGACGGATTCTGGGACTTGCAAAGAGCAGGAATGCGGCGGTTCGCGGAGATTCTGCGGTTCAGCCGCCGCCGATTGAAAAGGAAAGGACGGGAGTGCAGAGGATCGGCGGCGCTCGCGGAAGTTAGCTGCTGACGACAACTCCCCCCCCCACACACACACACACATCCGAGAGGGGGTGAGAACAAGGCGCTGAAGCCCCAAAACCTTTGACTGGCGCGAAGGGGACCTTAGCCCAGGCGTGTCTCTCGACCCTCCCGCCTTGGGGCTGCCTCGCTTTTCTGGCTGTGGAGGGCCACGTGCTGGAGCTATGGGGAGCGGGCGGCCCGTTCCGTCTCTGCTCGATTGAGGAATTAACTAGCGGGAACTCCGAGCGACCCGTTCGTGGAGAGAAGTTTCAGATCGGTCGCGAGCTCAGTCGAGGGGGCGATCCCGCTCCTGGGTTGGTAGCAGAGGCGAAGCGCCGGCTACGAGGAAGGGCGAGAGCAAACAAATAGGCTGTCGGGAGTTACCTTAACGGCAATCTGTATTTCCGAGAGATTTGGGTCTTTGGCGTCCCATCAGTTGCCCAGCACAGCGGCTTCTCCTGATGGAGGAGGAAACTACTAACACTGGACGTTTTGTAAACCTCAGATGCAGGGGTGAAATTCAAAATTTTTTACTACCGGTTCGGTGGGCGTGGCAGGGGAAGGATACTGCAAAATCTCCATTCCCATCCCACTCCAGGGGAAGGATACTGCAAAATCCCCATTCCCTCCCCACTCCTGGGGGAAGGATATTGCAAACTCCATTCCCACCCCACTCCAGGGGAAGGATACTGCAAAATCCCCGTTCCCTCCCCACTTCAGGGGAAGGATGCTGCAAAATCCCATTCCCACCCCACTCCTGGGGGAAGAATATTGCAAAATCTCCATTCCCACCCCACTCTGGGGCCAGCCAGAGGTGGCATTTGCCGGTTCTCCGAACTACTCAAAATTTCCCCTACCAGTTCTCCAGAACCTGTCAGAACCTGCTGGCTTTCACCCCTGCTCAGATGTATTTATTTCCCCAGGTTATGTACTGTCACAACCTTCTGTTTCTGTGACAGCCTTTTTCTCTTGCCAGTGTGCAGAGGAATGGGGACCACACTGCCCTCTCCCGCCCTTTGGAGTCTTTCTGCCTGTCATTGGTTCCTCTGCTGTGTTGAAAGGAGGAGCTGCACTTCGGATTTTGCTGCAAACTCATTTACTTGAAAAGAGGCTTTTATTGTCTTCTGATCTGCTGCAGTTCATTCTTTAACATTAAAAGTACCTCAGGGAAATCAATACAGTTGGCCTAACGACCCGGCAGTATCAATTGAAGCTGAAGATGTGGGGCTTAGATCCTGCAGTTGCACAATCAAACTAACAAACAAAATACAAAACCCTAAAACAGTTCCATTTTTTATAATAGTAATAACTTACTGGTATCAAAAACCTGGTTGGCAGGGAGATCTAGAGCAGTGTTTGTCTGCCTCAGCAACTTTAAGATCTGTGGACTTCAACTCCCAGAATTCACCAGCTATACATATCCGGGGAGTTTTGGGAGTTGAAGTCCACACATCTTGAGAAACGCTACTTTAAAGACCCTTTTTCTTAAGTGGCAGAGAGGTTTGGCTACCAAGAGAGTGTGTTATTTTACATTCATTATAATCATAATCGTGGGACATAAATTAGACAGTGACTGGCCTGAAACTGATCAATGAACATGATGCTGTTTCATGTATGTGAACTCAGATCTTCCCAGCCCAAACCTAGTACATGGATCATACCATTTTATGTCTGGTGACTGACCTTATTCATTTGGGCACTATACTCTATGCTGGAACACTCCTGGGCTGTGTTTCCAAAGCACTTGCACTTAGAATATATGCCATTTTTACATTTTTTCCCTACTGCAAATTCATTTAATGTTCAGACTTACTGTGTCCTTCAAATTATAACAGGTAATGCAGATCATGTTTATATGAATAATGTGGTTTATGACAACCCTAAAAAACAGCATCCAGATTAAAAGAATACAAGATGGCAGCTGTTTCAACTTTTAAATGATATACCGTACAGTAGTGGGTTTCAATTTAGTTTGCTACCGGTACGCTCGTGCACATGCGCACATGCGCAGAAGCATCTGGGCGGGTGGAGCCTGCCACCGCTGCCGCTACCGATTTGCCCGATCGGGGTGAATCGGATAGCAACCCACCACTGATACCGTAGTAATTGCGTCTATGTGATGTAGGAAACAAAAATTAACCAAAAAGTCTAACATGCTTTGGTTCATAGTATTGTGTAAACACCTACAATCAGGTTAATTACAGGTAAATATGTCAAAATAAAAATAGTGATTTTGAAACCTCAATTAAAGAGCAGTGTGATAGGAAATAAAAATGTTGCTTCTCTGGGCTCTGCAGCTGAATATTTTTGCAAGATGTTTCATGAAAGTAAAGTCACAAAGAGAAATGGATCAACACAACCAGTACTTCTGATCCACCATGAGCATTAACATCAATAAAATATATATTTTTAATCTCATCTTTATTATTTTTACAAATAACTTAAGGCAACAAATATAACTAACACTCCTTGCTCTTCCTGTTTTCCCCATAACAACTCTGAGGTAGGTTGGGCTGAGAGTGAATGATTGGCCCAAGGTCACCCAGACTGCTTTCATGCCTATGACACAAAGGTGGGTTTCAGCAGGTTCTGACCAATTCTGAAGAACTGGTAGCAGAAATTTTGAGTAGTTCGGAGAACCAGTAGTAAAAATTCTGACTGGCCCTACCCCCATCTATTCTCTGCCTCCCAAGTCCCAGCTGATCGGGAGGAAATGGGGATTTTGCAGTATCCTTCCCCTGGAGTGGGGTGGGAATGGAGATTTTACAGTAACCTTCCCCTGCCACACCCACCAAGCCATGCCACTCGCACCAAGCCACACCCACAGAACCAGTAGTAAAAAAAATTGAAACCCACCACTGCTATGACAGGACTAGAATTCACTGTCTCCTGGTTTCTAGCCTCATGCCTTAACCACTACAGAAACTGGCTCTCTATTGAATATAATTCTCTCAAAATATTGCAACAAAAAATGAATAAACTTTACCATTACTAGAGAAATACATGTACTTATTTTATATTTATATATTTATATTAAATATTCACCTATTGCAGAGGTGTCAAACACGTCACGGCAGCGTCACATGACATATCGGACTTTTCCCCCCTTCACTAAACCGGGGGCTGGGGTGGGCGTGGCTAGCATTGACGCATCCGGCCCACCGGCCACAAGTTTGACAGCCCTGACCTATTGCATTCAACATCAGAGAGAATTATAATTCTCTCTTCTGCCACCAATTGCCCCAACTGGCCAGTTCGCTCTCACAGAGAGGGCCTCCTCAGGTGCCGTCAGCCAACAATGTCGGCTGACCCCCAGGGGGAGACCCTTCCTGTGATGGCGCCTACCCTCTGGAACAATCTACCCCCAGAGATATGAGTGATCCCGATCTCCGGACTTTTCGTCTGGCCCTTAAAACCTATTTTTTTCAGTTAGCCGGGCTGGCCTGATTTTATATTGGTTTTAAAACTGATACTGATTTTAATAGAAATGTTTTAAATTATGGGCCAAACTTTATTTAACTATTTAAACTATTTTAACTTTTGTGTACAAATGTTTTATTTTTGGCTGTTCACCGCCCTGAATCCGAAAGGAGAAGGCGGTAAGAAATTTTAATAATAATAATAAAATCATCATCATCATCATCATCATCATCATCATCGACTACCGATCAGTGGGTGCAGCAAAATTTCACAAACTGACTACCTACAACGCCATGACCGTGTTGCTAAAATCATTCACTGGAAATTGTGCCAGAAGTTGGATTTGAGTACAGCAAAAACCACTGGGAACATCAGGTTGAGAAAGTTTTAGAGAATGAAAACTCAAGATCTTGTGGACTTTAGGATTCAGACTGACAGGCACTTGGTCCACAACACACCTGACATAACAATAGTTGAAAAGAAAAAAGTATGGTTCGTTGACATTGCAATACCTGGTGATGCACGGATTGAAGATAAGCAGCAAGAAAAAATCACAAAGTACCGGATTTGCAAATTGAAGTTGAGTGACTGTGGAAAAAGAAATCGTGTGTTGTCCCGATTGTAATTGGAGCCCTTGGAGCAATACCCAAAGGGCTACCCCGCTATTTAGAAATTCTAATTTTGCCCGACTTGAACATTTTGACTACAAAAAACCACTTACTCGGAACAGCTTACATCCTCCAACGATACCTTAACAGTTCCTAGGTCTTTGGTTAGGACTCGAGC